CAACAAAAAAGTCAATTCATCCATGTCCTTTATTTCTCTGATTTTTTCCACCCAATCCTGTACGGGTGGTACCGAGTCTTGCTCCCACTCTCTAGCAAAAACAATTCTAGCGGCGGTCGTCCTATATGTAAAAAATTTGTCCTCTTGTTCCGTCAATTGTAAATCCAAATCTGTAAAGCCTAACAAGTAATACTCTGGTTTTCTTGTAAAAGTTCTTTTTTGCGTCTCTTCGTGAATTACCCTCCAAAACTTTATTGCTTCTTTACAAGTCCACCACATATGGTAGAAGGAACCCACTTGTTCTGAATATTTCCAACACTTATCGGAAACTGTTTTATACATTTTAGCAAGTTGTTTCGGTGTGGTATACCATCTGTGGAACATTTTTATCCAATTTTCTTTTAAGTCCGTTGCATATGTATATTTTAATTTTTTGTTCAACATCTGTTCCCACTCCCTCATTTGAATTGGTCTTCTTAAATTTTGAGCCCATTTTACCACACAGTTTTTAACCTGTTCTTTTTCAGTCAGCCAGGTAAGTAATATATTATAAATATTTGATATTACTTTCTTTTCCAATTTTAAAATTTTATCCCACGCTGTTTCCTCCCAGGAAAATCCAGATTTTTTATCTTGATTGTAATATTCTTTAATTTGCATATAATGTAACCAAGTAATATTAGAAAAAAAATTAGTTCCTCATAAGACTTAATATTATTGTCAAAGGCTTTCATGGCTGGAATCATTAAGTTCTTGTGGGTTTTTTCAGGCTATATATAACATGGCCATATAGTCCGAAAAAACCCACAAGAACTTAGACTTAATATTGTTCGTAGCTTTATTTAACAAATCTTTGTAGGTTGGCCACTTTCTCCATCCTAAAAGTCTTCGCTGGTTTGCTTCCATGGGAGAGACCCATAAAGGTATCTTAGAATAAAAGTATCTTTTATATTTTTGCCATACTCTTAATAGGGATGCTCTCACAAAATGGTTACCAAAACTCTTTTCTTTCTTTTCCCTTTCCCCCCTTGTCCTAATGACTAAAAAAACCCCAGCAAAGATAGAAATCTGGGAACCATCTTCTTATTTCCTCTCCTGATGGCCATGTAGAAGGCAAAGGGGCAAAGGTGACAAGGACAAGGCCCTCTTTCTGGTATTTTCACCAGGGATCCAATTATGTCAAGATGGCATAGTCATCCATCCTGCTGTTCTCCCAGTTACGACTTCATCACATTGCCAAAAATAAGCGTCCTAGGATGCGTAGCACCTTCTTCGGGGACAGAGCCCCATGTCGCCATGCCGGAGAAGTGCGGCAACACGCCTGCTGGCGAAACAGCACAAGGGGGGTACCCTCTCCCATGTGATAAGATTGTAGGTATGCCTCCTTTAAGAGGCAGATTCAAAAGGCCTCTGAGAAAGAAGGTCATGCTAATTTTCATTTTGCGAAAAGAAGCTGATCATAGTAGGTGGGCTGTCTCCTTCTTCGAAGGCCAAGACAATCTTGGGCCTCCTATTATCTTTCTTTAAAGCAGCGGACAGCAGTATGAGGTATATGTAGTCCCAAAGCTGTTTTCCTGGTTCTCATTCTCCCCATCTCCCATTACCTTCTCTTTTCCTGGTAACATGAACCCCCTACACTGTTCAACAAATTAAAAAATAATCATATATGTACCATATATACTCAAATATAAGCCGACCCAAATATAAGCTGAGGCACCTAATTTTACCACAAAAAACTGGAAAAACATATTGACTCGAGTATAAGCCGAGGGTGGGAAATGCAGCCACTACAGGTAAATTTCAAAATAAAAATAGATACCAATAAAATTACATTAATTGAGGCATCAGGAGGTGAAATGTTTTTTAATATTTACATAAAACTGTAATTTGAGATAAGACTGCCCAACTCTGATTAAATCATTACATATCTTCAATGTAAATGTACTTACGTATCCTTCCAACAATAATAAAGAGAGTAAAATAATAAATATAATAATAATAAAGTAAAATAATGGAAATGCAATAATAACAGTAATAATAGAGTAGAATAATAAATGTAATAATAATAAAGTAAAATAATAAATGTAATAATAATCATAAATAGTGTAAAATAATAAATGTAATAATAATAATAATAATAATAATAATAATAATAATAATAGGGTAAAATACTGTAAATGTAAAGAGTTTTCTAAGATCTACAGAGACACTCACTGGAACACCTCAGCCAAGAGTCCAAAAGTGGCAGGCTCAAGTCCAGAACCTCAACCAATGGCTGATACCAAATGAGAGACTCTCTCCTGGGCACACAGAAAACTGGGCAACTTGGAAGGCGCTGAACAGACTGCGCTCTGGCACCACGAGATGCAGAGCCAACCTTAAGAAATGGGGCTACAAAGTGGAATCCACAACATGCAAGTGTGTAGAGGAGCAAACCACTGACCACCTGCTGCAATGCAACCTGAGCCCTGCCACATGCACAATGGAGGACCTTCTTGCAGCAACACCAGAGGCACTCCAAGTGGCCAGATACTGGTCAAAGGACATTTAATCAATTACCAAACTCACACATTTTGTATTTTGTCTGTTTGTTTGCTTTGTTCTGTTAGGAATGTAATATCATTGACTGGCTGCCCTGACATGACAAATAAATACTGTAAATGTAATAATAATAGAGTAAAATAATACATGAAATAAAAATAATACTAATAACAGAGTAAAATAATAAATAACCTTGACTCAAGTATAAGCCGAGGGGAACTTTTTCAGCCTAAAAAAGGGGCTGAAAAACTAGGCTTATACTCGAATATATACAGTAATTACTATCTATGACCAAATTCACGATATTCACTAGGATAAAGTATTGTTTCTGTATTTGTCCTTCCAGGAAAACCAACTGATAAAACTGATTCCACAGCCCTGTGTTTCAGGGATAAGTTGCAGTGTAAAAAGTCAAAAGAAATTAATTTAAATTCAGTTGCAAGGACAACTCCACCCTGTAATTAAATTAACAAATGAGAATAGCTTCCTGATTATAATTCAGTTTTTATTCTTATGTCTATGTTATGATGGAAGCACACTGCAACTCACCAAGTTGAAAGCACCAATGCCCAGGGCAATTCCTCCCTCCAGATGCACACGAGAGGAGCTTCTTGGCAACTGATTGGGTTGGATGAAACTGTTGAGTTCTCTGTAAACATAAAATAGTTAAGAGAATCCCACTGCACCTTCAATTCTCAGGAGCTATAACGCAAAACCTACAGGCCCTCCCTGGTTCAAAAGCCTTTGGACCATAAGGCCACTCAACATCCCAGATTTTTTGATAAGTTTGGTGAAGCAGTTTTGAAGAACTCACAAGTTTGCATACATTTTGAGTGGCTCTAATAGAACTAATGCTGAACCACTATTCTATTCCATGCATACTTCTGCTTTAAAAATGAATATATGTTACTAGCTGTCTCCTGCCACGCGTTGCTGCGGCCCAGTCTGGTGATCTAGAAAATAAAGTAATGAGAAAGTGTTGGTTTCTAATATATGTAATTTCTCTATGCTTGTGGGTAAACAGTGTGCCAAGTTTGGTCTTGATCAGTCATTGGTTCAGAGTCGCAGTGGTTTCAGTAAGTGAGTGAAGGTACTGCAAGTCCCATCATCCATGGTCAACCCTCCTCCAAACTGCAGCAGGATGTAGAGTGGGTCCTGGGGGCTCTGTGTGCCAAGTTTGGTCTTGATTGGTCATTAGATGAGGGTTGCAGCAATCTTGGGAAGGGAGTGGAGGTACTTAAAGTCCCATCATCCATGGTCTGTCCTCCTCCAAACTGCACCAGGATGTAGAGTGGGTCATTGGGGCTCCATGTGCCAAGTTTGGTCTTGATCAATCATTGGCGAGGGTCTCGGCAGTCTCAGAAAGTGAGTGAAGTTACTGCAAGTCCCATCATCCATCTCCAAAGTTTTCCAAACGACACCAGGACGTAAAGTGGGTCATGAGAGGTCTATGTGCCAAGTTTGTTCTTGATCAGTCATTGGATGAGGTTCGCAGAGGTCTCAGAATGTGAGTGAAGGTACTGGAAGTCTCATCATCCATGGTCAACCCTCCTCCAAAACTGCAGCAGGATGTAGAGTGGGTCACCTACATATATCCATGCAACTGAAAACCTTTCTTTATTCAGTCACACTTCCTTACAGCTTCTTTTCACACTTGGTTGCAACTCCTTCCCTTAGCAACACACACAAAAAAGAAGTGGAGAGAAGAGAGTCCCTCTATATGTGCACCAAAGAAACACCTGAATAGGGTTTTGGTGTGCAAGAAATGCTGTTCCCGTGCTAAGACACTGAGTGTGATAGCTTTAAGGCAGAGATGTACCCTTTCCTATATCCAAATGTATAACCTATGTTTCTTAAACTGCCAATCCAGAAAAGGTCCAACGCTTATCCTGGAAGGAGAACTGGCATAACTGGATTAGTAGCAATTTCTTCCTTTTCTCCTCTCATCTGCAAACAATTATCACCATTTTTGGGATGAAATTCACACACATTCTCCAAAACTGGAAAACACCTATCCGACATTTTTAGAGGATACTTTTTAAACATTGATATTTATCTTTGATCTTTAGTGACAATCTACATTTCAGGAGAGAAATAATATTCTACACTGTTCCCAGAATTGTGTGATTTTGTATTGCAGTAGAGGCAAATGGAACTGCATGTTTGAGTGTTCCTCCAATCTTACTTAAAGTATAATTCTGAAGGGAGTCAGCACCATGTACTGGTTTGAGCATTGGACTACTATTCTGGAGATCAGGACTCAGAGCACCACTCAGTTGTGGAAACCCACTGGGTGACCCTGGGTGAGTCACACACTCTTCATCCCCTAAAACCTATGATAAGCCTTAGGTCACAATAAGTCAGAAATGACTCAAAGGCTCACAACAACAAATAACCCGCAGAATGCAGAAAAATAGCCCATTATGTGACTCATCTAGATGCTAGCATTCCAAACAAAATGCTCATGAACATGTTGGATACGATCTCTGTGTTATGTTTCCCTATCACCTATATCAATAAAAATGTAATGTTTGTTTGTGGTATTAACATAACTCAAAAACCACTGGACAAATTGACACCAAATTTGGACAGCATACACCTAACAACCCAATGTATGTCCTTCACTCAAAATTTTTTGATTTTGTCATTTGGGAGTTGGAGTTGCTGGGATTTATAGTTCACCTACAATCAAAGAGCATTCTGAACTCCACCAATGATGGAATTGACACACAGGACTCCCATGATCAACAGAAAATACTAGAAGGGTTTGGTGGGCATTGACCTTGAGTTTGGGAGTTGTAGTTCACCTACATCCAGAGAGCATTGTGGATTCAAACAATGATGAATCTGGACCAAACTTGGCACAAGCATTTAATATGCCCAAATATGTACACAGGTGGAGTTTGGGGAAAATAGACCTTGACATTTGGGAGTTGTAGTTGCTGGGATTTATAGTTCACCTACAATCAAAGAGCATTCTGAACTCCACCAATGATGGAATTGAACCAAACATGGCATACAGGACTTCCATGACCAACAGAACACACTGGAAGGGTTTGGTGGGCATTGACCTTGAGTTTGGGAGTTGTAGTTCACCTACATCCAGAGAGCACTGTGGACTCAAACAATGATGGATCTGGACCAAACTTGGCACAAGCACTCAATATGCCCAAATATGAACACAGATGGAGTTTGGGGGAAATAGACCTTGACATTTGGGAGTTGTAGTCACTGGGATTCACAGTTCACCTATAATCAAAGAGCATTCTGAGAACCCCACGAATGACAGAATCAGGGCAAACTTCCCACACAGAACCCCCATGACCTTCAGAAAATACTTAAGGCCATCCAATCCAACTCCCTTCATCAGGGCAAGAAAACGTAATCAAAGTCCTCCTGACAAAGAGCCATCCAGCCATAGATATAGATAGATATAGATAGATAGATAGATAGATAGATAGATAGATAGATATGATTCACACACAGAGATATAGTATCATAGATTTGAAAGGGACCCTTAAAGAAGGACAATGATATCTTGCATGTTCCAGGGTGGGCAAACCCGACACTTTCCACATCAACACCGACAAAGAAACAGCAAGAAATACTGTTTACCCACAAGCATAAAGAAATTGGATATATTAGAAACCAACACTTTCTCATTACTTTATTTTCCAGATCAACAGACTGGGCCACGGCAACACGTGGCAGGGGACAGCTAGTGAAGAATAAAATTGTCTATTGTTATGTGGTTTTGGGTATTCATTAAGGCAGGGGTCCTCAAACTAAGGCCCGGGTGTCGAATACGGCCCTCTAAGGTCATTTACCCGGCCCTCGCTCAGGGTCAACCTAAGTCGGAAATTACTTGAAAGCACACAACAACAACAACAACAATCCTATCTCATCAGCCAAAAGCAGGCCCACACTTCCCATTGAAATACTAATAAGTTTATATTTGTTAAAATTGTTCTTCACTTTAATTATTGTATTGTTTTAAAATGTTTTGTGCACTACAAGTGTTTTGTGCAGTGGGCATAGGAATTCATTCATGCTTTTTTCAAATTATAATTCGGCCCTCCAACAGTTTGAGGGACTGTGACCTGGCCCTCTGTTTAAAAAGTTTGAGGACCCTTGCATTAAGGTGTTTCTTCTGGACACAAGCACACAGAACCCTATTGTCTCTGCTTCTTCTTTTTCTGTGTTGCTGAAGGAAGAGTTGTAACCAAGTGTGAATAATAATAATAATAATACTTTATTTATACTCCACTACCATCTCCCCAAGGGACTCGGTGCGGCTTACATGAGGCAGAGCCCACAATACATCAACACAAGCAATACAACCACAATACAAAGCAAAATACTAATACAAAGCAATTAAAATAAATCTCATACATAAATAGCATAAACATTGAACAACAGCACAACACACATTTAAAATAGCACATTTAAAATAGCATAAACATTGAACAACAGCACAACACACATTTAAAATAGCACATTTAAAATAGCATAAACATTGAACAATAGCACAACACATAGTTAAAATCTATGGTGTGAAGAGAAGCTGTAAGGAAGTGTGACTGAATAAACAGTGGTTTTCAACCTATGGATCCCCAGATGTTTTGGCCTTCAACTCTCGGAAATCCTAACAGCTGGTAAACTGGCTGAGATTTCTGGGAGTTGTAGACCAAAACACCTGGTAACCCACAGGTTGAGAACCACTGGAATAAAGCAACACTTTCAATTGCATGGAGACGTGTAGCTGAGTTCACTTGAATTTATATGCAGACACAGACCATCCCATAGGTTTTCCAATAACAACAACAACAACAACACTTTATTTATAACCCACCCTCTCTCCCTGAAGTGACTCAGGGAGCTTTCCAAAGTATAACAAAATGTCAAACATCAAATTTGAGCATGGTGATCAGATCATGATATGAATAAACATAACAGTTTAAATAATGTACCAGTAAGGCCTTCTCGCGGACCACCATGAGAATTTCGGGAGGGGGGTGAAACCCTGCAAGCCCCCCCCCCCCCCCCCCCCCCCCCCCCCCGGGCTACATGCCTGAACAAATAACAATCAAGATGAAACATGAAAGAAAATAAACTAAATATAGCTTATAAAAAAACGAAATTAACTGAGGATAAACTCAATAAACATAATATAACACAAGGAGTCCAAATAATTAAAACACAATACATTAAAAGCATAATATAGTCTATCAACATCAGCAGACAGTTCCTGGTATAACATCCTAGCTATGCTTCCTCGTGTGCCTTTTGTTTCCTTTACCCCATTATTAAATGTCTACATTATGACTAAAACAGTTTCATTTTTCAAGCAGTCAGTTGCTATTCCAACTTACCTGTAGATGAGGTAGCTGTTACGCACCTTGATTCCTCCTTTTATGAAATTCACCATATTTTCATCCTGTAAAAATGAAAGTGAGTCAAAAAGTGTAAGATGTTGGTCTGTGCTTGGGTTTGATGCATTCAAAGTAATGCTATTATGGGTCAAGGAAAATTTAATACAGGCGTCCACTGCTAGGACAAATCAAATGTGAGTGTCAAACAGCATCCATTCCATGCTTCGTGAAACTGGGGATTGTGACCCTCCATACCCCCCCCCCCCCGGTCCTTTCTTGTAGTTGGAACCCCTTGGAACTCTTTACCTGGGGAGATCAGGAAAGCCCCTTCACTGGAAACATTTAAAAAGAACCTCAAAACCTGGCTTTTCCGCTGCACCTTTGGCGAGTAGGTGCACAGCATGATATTTTACACCCCCTCAACGTTTTCGGCTAATGGAGTTCGTGCCCTCCAAATAGGATGTTCTGCCCCACAACTCTGTGTGTTTTATGAGTTCCATTTAAACTTCCTGCTCCTATTTTATCTCATCATAGTCTGTTAATTGTTTTTTATTCGGAATATGTGGCCCGCCCATTGTCATCTCTATCGTAATTGTGTCTATTGGAATTTTTTATTTTAATTTTATTATTACTATTTTTATTTTATTATTATTTTAATGTCATTTTGATAATGTTGTTGTTGTCTGATGTGTATGCTTTGATTTTATTGTTGTATTTTATTGTCGGGGCTTGGCCCCATGTAAGCCGCTCCGAGTCCCTTGGGGAGATGGTCACGGGGTAGAAATAAAGTTTTTTATTATTATTATTATTATTATTATTATTATTATTTATTGTTTTTCTGTTTTAATTGATGTGTTGTCGGGTTTGACCTCATGTAAGCCGTTCCGAGTCCCTTGGGGAGATGGTCGCGGGGTAGAAATAAAGTTTATTATTATTATTATTGTTATTATTATTTTGTTTATTGTTTTTCTGTTTTAATTGATTTGTTGTCGGGCTTGGCCTCATGTAAGCCGTTCCAAGTCCCTTGGGGAGATGGTCGCGGGGTAGAAATAAAGATTATTATTATTATTATTATTATTATTATTATTATTATTATTCCTCATCAAGCACTGTCTCTTAGGGTTTTTAAAATTGGTCTTCTTACAATCTCCAACCCAACTGCACTCATTTCCACAACGGGTGCAGGGTACAGAGTCCTTGCATACAGCTACAAATATGGGTTGGGCCACTAATTCCCACATACTGTTACAAAAAGGACTAAAGAGGAACAAGAAGGCTACCCATTTTAAAACTAGCTGATCTGGCAATGAGGCATGAGAAGGGAGAAGCTGTTGTTGCCTGCTCTTCCTTGTAAATTCTGCAAAAGTTTTTTTAAAAAAATAATGTTTATTAGGTTTTATACATATACAGATTAAAAGTAAAAAAGAAACATAAGAAAAAAGTGTTCTAACATACAAAGGACATGTTACAAATCTACCTACCCCCCCCCCCCCCAACCCCCTCCCTAACCTAACCACTTCTGCTACTAAAAACGAGAGGAAACCCTAACTTAAGGATACAGGGTGGGGAAAGCTGTATGGGTAGTGGTAGATAAAGAGTATACAAAGGGTAAGAGCGGGGAAGGATCAGGGGCGGCTCAACCCATTACGCAAAGTAAGCATTTGCAGTATAGTTGATTTTGCCCAGGGGCACTCTTGAGGTGCTCTTGGGGGAAATAGACCTTGACATATGCGAGTTGTAGTTACTGGGATGTATAGTTCACCTACAATCAAAGAGCATTCTGAACTCCACCAATGATGGAATTGAACCAAATATGGCACACAGAACTCCGACGAACAGAAAATATATATCAGTGATTGGTTGGGGGGGACGGACGACCAAAATACTGTTTGCTTACCATTGAAAATTACCTCTGCGGAAGGATACTAAACTAAGGGTATATTTAGAACTTCCAATTGTCTTTATCATGAACAAATGTCTCTTTTCTACTCTTCCTTTATTTCTACTTTAGTCTTCTCGTCTTCTTTCTTCTCCCATTTCCGACAGGGGGGTCATTCTGAATGTCTATATCAGTATCTTTATGTGCTTCTGTTTTAAATAGTCTTTCTGTAAAAGTTTGAGTGGCTACTTTGCTCATTCTTTTTCCTGGATAACTGGAAATGGTGTGACTCAGCCTATTGCAAGGTATGGTCTCTGTTTTGAACTACTGAACTTTATACCCTCCTCATATGGGGTTCTGCCCCACACTAATCCAGCTGTTTTGGACAGCAACCTACACATGTTTTGGAGTTCAACCTCAAGTTGAACTCCAAAACTTCCACAAACGCCACTATCACCTTTTCATCCATGTCCCAGCATTATTTCCTTTTTAACTTTACATTTGGCCTTCCCACTGTTTTTAATTGCGTGTTGTCTTATTGATAGTGTTGTATATTTTATTGTCTATGTTTTTATTTTAAATGCTTGTACTGTTGTTGTTTTGCTTGTATTGTTGTATTCGGGCTCGGCCTCATGAAAGCCGCACCGAGTCCCTTGGGGAGATGGTAGCGGGGTACAAATAAAGTCTTCTTCTTCTTCTTCTTCTTCTTCTTCTTCTTCTTCTTCTTCTTATTATTATTATTATTATTATTATTATTATGTTTTCTAGCCAGGGACTGGTGAAACAAGAAACCAAAACACCAATTTGGGGAAGACTGCCACAATGTGACTGAATTTACTGCATGTATGCTCCAAGGGATGGAAACTTTTCTTACCTGGAGGAAAGTAAGGGCTGCCCGGTGCAACAGGCATTCTGCATAGCACACTTCAGCATGCAGCTCCTCTGTAACAGAAAAAGTGTGATTTAGTACAGAGTAGGTTAGCCAAGTTTTCCACACAGTAATACAGGGCATCCCCTCCAATATTTGTTTCCAACAGCTGGTTAGATGCCTCTAGGAAAATCACAAACACCACATCCCCATCCCACCATGGACTGCAAAAAGACCCCAATGCTTTCCAACACCCCACAAATAATGCTTCTCACCTTCATTACATGCATCTCCACTTTGCCGACTGGAAAAGGAGCTGCTCACAGTGGTTTTCCTTCGAAACCTAGCAGAAAATCCAAGAACAGTTGCTAAACTAGGTTCCTGGCCTTCTATAATAATAATAATAATAATAATAATAATAATAATAATAATAATGCTTTATTTATACCCCGCCACCATCTCCCCCAAGGGACTCGGAGTGGCTTACATGAGGCCAAGCCTGACAACACATCAATAGAATGGAAAAATGATAAACAAAAAGACAATACAATATAAATCACATATAAACAAGGATATTCCAACATATCCTAGTCATAAACACACAAAGAAGCAGGGCAGTCTCTCTTTGTGTCCCTCTTATAGCTCCTCTTTAATAATAATAATAATAATAATAATAATAATAATAATAATAATAATTTATTTATACCCCGCTACCATCTCCCCAAGGGACTCGGTGCGGCTTACATGAGGCCGAGCCCATAATACAACAATATTATGATCCTCTTGTTTCTCCATTTGTGGAAAGGGATTCATTTGTCTCTTTCTATCAATCATACAATCATAGCTACACATTCCATGTTTCACAGCAATTTTTTTGTTTCCACGTTCAAACAGAGGTAAAGAACATGTTGTTTTGATAATAAAAACAGTCAGAAGAGGGAGGGAGTGGGTTGACGTTTATATTCTGCTCTTTTAAATCCTAGATTTGGATCTGAAAGAGACAAATGAATCCCTTTCCACAAGTGGAGAAACAAGAGGATCATTTGTGGTCATAAATTATCTGCCATATTCTTGAAAGGGATACATCTAACACACCGAAGCTACAGAGGCAGATTCTGATCTCTCGCTTAGCTATTTGTCTTGAATTGCTGTCCTAGGTAGCTCCCACCTCTGACAGATGTCCTGTGCCTCCTTCATCATCTGCGCAGCATGGACAAGGTCATCGTGCTCAAAGGTCATTGTGGCTTGCATCTCCAGAATAGTGGCATAAATTAAGGCATGATACATGCTCTCCCGGGACCTGCCAATGGGGGTAAAGGGGAAGATTTGGTCATTCATTCATTCATTCATTCATTCATTCTTTTACTATATTTATATCCCGCTCTCACACACTCCAAGGGGGACTCAGAGGAGCTTATAATATGGCAATATTCAATATCGCATATACAATCAAATAAGATAAGATACATCATATACATAAAAACATATAGAAACATGTAAATACCATAAAACTGGGTCGTTGTAGGTTTTTCGGGCTATATGGCCATGTTTTAGAAGCATTCTCTCCTGACGTTTCACCTGCATCCGGCAGGCATCCTCACACTCTGAGAATGCTTGCCATAGCTGCAGGTGAAACGTCAGGAGAGAATGCTTCTAAAACATGGCCATATAGCCCGAAAAACCTACAACGACCCAGTGATTCCGGCCATGGAAGCCTTCAACAATATACCATAAAACTTAAAACCATGATACCTATTCCAGATGTCATCATTTGTGTTGCTACTGTTATGCCAGTTCTATATTGCACTATTCAAATGCCTGATCCTATAGCCAGGTCTTCGCTCTCTTCCTGAAAACCAGGAGAGAGGGGCCAGTCTGATATATCTGGGGAGGGAGTTCCATAACCGAGGGGCCATAGAATCATAGAGTTGGAAGAGACCTCATGGGCCATTCAGTCCAACCCCCTGCCAAGAAGCAGGAATATTGCATTCAAAGCACCCCTGACAGATGGCCATCCAGCCTCTGTTTAAAAGCTTCCAAAGAAGGAGCCTCCACCACACTCCAGGGCAGAGAGTTCCACTGCTAAACGGCTCTCACAGTCAGGAAGTTCTTCCTGATGTTCAGATGGAATCTCCTTTCTTGTAGTTTGAAGCCATTGTTCTGCGTCCTAGTCCTAGTCTCCAGGGCAATCTTGCTCCCTCCTCCCAATAATAATAACAACAATAATAATAATAATAATAATAATAATAATAATAAACTTTATTTGTACCCCGCAACCATCTCCCCAATGGGGACTCAGAGTGGCTTACATGAGCCAAGCCCAAACAACAATTACATAAAATGAAACCAAAAGCGCAAATAATAAACAATAACAACATAATTACCTAAAACAAATGAAAACAGCAATATAAAATTACAATAAGCACAATCACAATGACAATGGGCAAGCTACATGTAATGGATAAAAGAAAGGCTGATTAAAAGCAGATTAAAAACTCGGGCGAGATAAAACAAAAACAGATTATTTGCGGAGGAGAGCTCATGACTTCGTCTCACATATTTATACATGGCCCTCATCATGTCTTCTCTCCTCAGCCTTCTCTTCTTCAGGCTAAACATGCCCAGCTCTTTAAGCCGCTCCTCATAGGGCTTGTTCTCCAGACCCTTGATCATTTTAGTTGCCCTCCTCTGAGAAGGCCCTGTCTCTTGTCCCCACCAGTCGTACTTGCAAGGATGGTCGGACCGAGAGCAGGGCCTCCCCTGCTGGTCTTAAGTCTCTAATTGGTTCATAGGGATAAGTACATTCAGACAGGTAAGTTGGACCAGAGCCATTTAGAGCTTTATAGGCTAAAGCCAGCACTCTGAATTGTGCTCGGTAGCAGACCGGCAGCCAGTGGAGCTGATGTAACAGAGGAGTTGTATGTTGTAAGATAAAGACGTGGTTCAAGGCAATAACACGTTTAAGCTAGGGTGACAGCAGCAGGGTGGTTTCTCTCACCTACTGAGAATCCCCAAAGCAGGAACAGCCAACTCTAGCCATTGCAATTATTGATTTTGTCCTACAACTCCCATCTCTCTTAGCCAGAATCGCCAATGGTGAAAGTCCAACAAAATCCTGTACTCATTCCTCCTGCACTCCACCCACAAAGAATTTCATCTACTCAAGAATCAATTGCTCACTTACAACAAAGAAATCAATGTAACATTCCTCACAGCAATGGATTAATTAATAACATAGGTGGAGCCCAAGCATCACTTTGGCAGGTCCAGAAAAGACATTTTACAAAGGGCCTTTTCGCGTGAGACATCACTCCTTATATACATTCATGGATAAAGTTTAATTCCAAAATTATGGCATATATTCCAACATTACAGCATGCAGCCATATTTGTGGAACTGGTGGAGGGTGCGGGGGGATGGGATGGCACATGTGCCAAGACAGAGGGCACTGTGTTCCCCTTCTGGCACACATGTCATGGGTTCACCACAACTATAGCATACAGTAGGACTGTGTACCCTTCTTGAAAGTTAAGGATAGATTTTTATTGAAAAATCTCATTTATTATACATGCAAATAGTTCATGTTTTTTTCTGAAAGAAGCAAAGTTTCACATGGAAACTTCTCAGCAAGGAATATGTGATACTTGCAAGGCTCACATTTAGAAGTTTCTTACAATTCCTGGGCTCTTCTATCATATATTATAGAATTGATTGAAATATAAAACAAATGTTGGTTGATTTGAATCTGAACATTAATGCACAGAAGTCACTGTCCAAAGTCACATCAAAACCGTAACTATGGGTGAATTGGTCCCTTAGCAAGAGTGAAAAAAAATACTAAGCATGAAATATGCTTGTTGAGTTAAACCCACGAACAAAGACTGATTTAGTTTTAATGAAAGCACTGGTTGGAAGTCACATATTATAACTTAATCACATTTTCCTAGCTATCAAAAGTCTTGTCTTAAGAAATGGGACAGGAAGAGTATTTTTACAATAGAGGAAACAGTTAGAGCAACAATATTCTGATCTTTTTGAGAAAAAAAAGTCCCTCTTTCATTTATTCTTTTCCCATCTACTGAACCTTCTGCATTTTCTTCCCCTATAGTTTTCACTACTATAGTTAGGAGTAACCACTGATAAGTGGTGGTTCAGATCTTAAAATTATTTATAATGGTTTTGTATTGTAATTTTATTTTTTGTTTTATTTTATTGCTGTATTGGTTTATACTGATGTATTGTATTGTTGGGCTTGGCCTCACGTAAGCCACCCCAAGAGATGATGGCGGGGTATAAACGAAGTTTATTTATTTATTTATTTATTTATTTATTATTATTACTAGCCGTCCCCTGCCACGTGTTGCTGTGGCCCAGTCTGTGTATATGTGTTTTGTGTGTATATATATATGTGTGTATATATTTGTGTCTATGTGTGTTTGCGTATATATGTGGTTCGGCGCATGCATTGTAATGTATATTTTTGTTTTTGGCTTTTTAAGTCTCTTCTGCTGTTTTTTTCTATGTTTGTATGAGTGATAATCACTTGTTGGCCTGATATGTGTATTGTGTCCAAATTTGGTGTCAATTCATCCAGTGGTTTTTGAGTTATGCTAATCCCACAAACAAACATTACATTTTTATTTATATAGATTTATTTGTTTATTTTCTAACATGTGCAGACATAGAGGTTGTGTAATTCAGCCTCCTACTGTTCACACACATATATACAAGCATACCTCAGTTAACAAAGTCTCTGAGAAGGAAACTTCTTCCAGTGTGCCTTCCCAGAATAAGGAAAACTCTTAGCAATATGTCCTCAAATGCACTTTAATATTGATTAGGATTGTCTGCGCGCCCTCCTCTTTCTTTGAAAACCTCATCCTATTTTACCCTACCTTGTTCATGCCCAGCATTTTAAATTTTAAATTTCAATTATTACATTTAGCCCGGCCATAGGTTTTTAAATGCTGTATGTCATTGTTATTGTTATTGTTTATTGCTTATTGTGTATTTTTATTTTTGAGTTTTATTTTAACTGTTTGTATTGATTATTTGTAATCGCCTTTGTTTATTGATGGCACCAAGTCCCTAGGGGAGATGTTAGCGGGGTACAAATAAAGTTGTTGTTGTTATTATTATTATTATTATTATTATTATTATTATTATTCCCAAAAATCCCAACCAGTTAACCAGCTGTTAGGATTTCTGGGAGTTGAAGACCAAAACATTTGGAGACCCACAGGTTGGGAACCACTGCTCTAACTGAGCCAATTGTGACAATATGTGTCCCCTTACAGCAGGCAAGATAAACAGCAGCTAACTTTAGAATCCTTAGTAGACATATTTGAACAGCAAAACAGAGAAAATGAGTTATCAAGCTTCATCAACTTCTCCCAGTATGTTAAAAAAGCACAGGTCTGTAAGTCCAACAAAATAGGAATTATGCAAGGTTTGGCTGGCCTGGTTGTTGTAATTCCATATATGCCCAAAAAAGGTTGCTGAAATGTTTAAATTCTCTTACTTTTGGTGGCATGGGGCATGTGTTTATTCTTTCCCTGTTATTTCTGTCTCTAGTCTCAACTTTTCTGTTAAAGAAGTAGGTTCGTTGATAAAGGTTGTCCCCTGACATTAAGTCCAGTCATGTCTGACTCCGGGGTGTGGTGCTCATCTTCGCGTCTAAGCCAAAGAGCCGGCATTATCCATAGACACCTCCAAGGTCATGTGGCCGGCATGACTGCATGGAGCACCCTTACCTTCCTGCCGGAGCGGTACCTATTGTTCTACTCACATTTGCATGTTTTCGAACTGCTAGGTTGGCAGAAGCTAGGGCTGACAGCAGAAGCTCGTGCCGCTTCCCGGAATAGAGCCTGCGACCTTTCGGTCAACAAGCTCAGTAGCTCAGCGCTTTAACCCACTGCGCCAGAAGTAATGACCAGAAATACATCTGCTCTGTTAATTGAGGTATACCAGTGCTATTTTTGTTTATGCAAACCAATTTTCCCTATAGCAATTAATTTCTCATACACAAGACATTACATATATTTTAAAAAATCAACATCCCACTAATAAGATACTTGCCATTATCGTTTTATTTTACTTGCTTCCAAAAGACACATGGAAAATATGGGCTTTGTAGCTACTCCAGAACACCAAACAAAAGATTGTTCACTAGCCAAATGTTTTATTTCATGCCACAAAGGTAGGAGTAAATAGTGTTTCACATTTTGCGTTCCACTATTTGTTTTAATGCCAGGTGCCCATTGTAACACGCTTCCCTCCACATTCCTTATTTAAATCGTTCCACCATCCTTTCCATAAGCTCAGGGGAAAAAACAGACGTCATGAGAATCTCGCCTGTCCCACCAAACCAGTGTATGGTGTAAATAATTACACACACACAAAAATACTTACTTGTAATAAATTACTTTTTCTAATCAGGAAAGTATAAACATCTTGCCTGCACTACAATAACAACTTAAGAGATAAATTCATTTTTTGCAATGGGCGTTTAAATTATTTGTATAGCTACAGAGACGAGACCTTACTAAACTATGGAGGACGAATATATGATATACAGTAGTTCATTTTGTGACTGTTTTAATAGGATTTATATTTCTGCTTTATACTGTTTAATTTTGTTATATGGTTTTTTTTGCATGGCAATTGAATGTTTTGCCCTAACCCTCTCCTTCCTTCCTTCTTTACCTCTTTCCTTCCTCCCTTTTTCTTTTCCTTCCCTTTCTCTTTCTTCCTTCTCAGCCTCTTTCCTTCCTTTGCTTTTTGCTTTCATCCTTCCTTTTGTCTTTCCTTCCCTCCCTCTTTTTCTTTCTCTTCTTCCTTCGCTCCCTCTTTCCTTCCTTTTTTCTTTCCTTCTCTCCTTCCTTCTTTCTCTACCCATTTCTTTCCATCCCTCTTCTTTTCCTCTTTCTCTTTCTTCCTTTTCTACCTCTTTCCTTCCTTCGGTCTTTGCTTTCATACTTCCTTCTCTCCTTCCTTCCTTCCTTCCTTCCTTCCTTCCTTCCTTCCTCCTTCCTTCCTTTCCTTCCTTCCTTCCCCTTTTTTCTTGTCATTTTCCTTTCTTTTGGGTTTTTAAGTCCTTTTCACTGTTTTTTTGGGGGGGGGGTTATGATTGATGGACACTCATTGGTCTGTTAGCGTTGCTGTGGTCAACTTCCCTCCCTTTTTCTCTCTCTCCTTCCTTCCCTCTTTCCTTCGTTCCTTCCTTTTTTCTTTCCTTTTCTCTTTCCACCTCCCTCCCCCCTTTTCTTTACCTTCTTTCTCTCCTTTCTTCCTTCTCTCCCTCTTTCTTTCCTCCTTTCCTTTGCTCTTTGCTTCCATTCTTCCTTCTCTCTTTCCTTCTTTCTTTCCCGCCCTCTTTCTATCCTTTCTTCCTTCCCTCTTTCCTTCCTTTCCCTCTACCTCTTGCCTGGGGACCAGCAGGCAGGGAGCCTTTCTGTAGCCCTCAGCCTTGCTGGGCTGGGCATGGGGCAGGCGGGAGGCGCTTTTCGAGGCAGGCCTTGCTCACCCAGCGCTGCCCCTTCTTCTTTCTGCCATGGCTGCGGCTCGCCTTCCCTGTTTGGCGGGTGGGCATGCAGGCAGGGTCATATGGAAGGCGCCCTGTGGCTGAGGCAGAAAGAAGTGGCCAATGTGGGTGAGCAAGGCCCACTTCAAAAAATGCCTCCCGCCCCCGCCGGGCCCAGCAAGGCTGAGGGCTGCAGAACCCCCTTCTCGTCAGTGCCCAGGCAAGGGAAGGTGAAGCCTGGCGAGCAGCGTCCACACGGAGCAGCCACCCACCCGCTTCTCCAGGGGGAAAAGAAGGAGGAGAGGTCTGTGTTTGGTGGGGCCGACAAAGAGAGGAAGGAGACTGGGAGGAAGGGAGGGAGGGAAGGAGGGCCCACACATGGAAAGGGACTCTATGGTGAGGCTTCTCTTCCCTCACGACGGTTGATGCTTCATTCTTCTCGTGCAATGGGGAGAGGGGCTTTTGCGCATGCTCTGTAAGGCATTTTTCTTTTTGGGGAGTTTTAAGTTATTTCCCCTAAATTTTTTACTTTTTTTTTGTTTGAAAGACATAGATCGGATTAGAATATGTTTTGCTGCCAAATTTGGTGTCATTTTGTCCAGTGGTTTTTGAGTTCTGTTAATCCCACAAACGAACATTACATTTTTATTTATATAGATAATGTATATATCTGGCATGTGCAAACCTTTTGACCAACATAAACTTAACAGTATTTCAGTGGAAGACTCCAGGAGCCATCCAGTCCAACCCCCTTCTGCCATTCAGGGAATGCAAAATCAAAGCACCCCCAACAGATGGCCATCCAGCCTTTGTAATAATAATAATAATAATAATAATAATAATAATAATAATAATAATAATAGCAACCCCAGGGGTAATCTAGTCCAACCCCTTTCTGCCATGCAGTAAAAGCACAATTAAAGCACCCTGTGAGCAGTGGGTGGGAAATAGGATTTTACAAGCAAGGACGGTGAAGGGGAAAGGATCTGGGTAGTGAGGAAGATCAGAAGAAAAGGCTTTTGGGGGTGAGGGAGGGGGAAAGCAGAAAATAAAAGGGAAATCTTGGAGGAGGAGAAAGAGGGGGAGGGGGAGGAAGCGTGGAACTCCTCAGTATGCCTTGCAGAGCCCCACAGAGCACACTTTGACAGCCCTTGCTCAATAGCCCTGCTCATGTCTTGCAGATTCAGGGTATCCATGGCTTCCTTGATTGAATCCATCTAACTGGAATGCTGTCTTCCTCTTTTACTATACCCTCCCAGTGTAGCAAGCACGTTTTTCCCAGTTAGACCTGTCATCTCAGGATATGTCTGAAGTACAATAACTCCAGTTGAACGATTTTTCCTTCTTCAGAGTAGAGGAGAGATAACAGTATATACATGGGAGTGTGGCTATTAGAAGGAGTAGTGGGTGATAACCAGTGTGGGATAATGGTTTCAGCAATGGACTACTTTTCTGGAGAAGCGGTTCAAACCCTTGTTTGCCCATGAAAAGCCATGGGGGAACCTTCAGCAAGTCACTCTTAGCCTCAAAAAACCCTGCGGCAGGTTTGGCACAATTCAGAAACAACCTGAGATCACATAACAACACAGGGCGTGGGAAGGGCAATGGCCTAGGTCTGGCCTTTCTGTCTGTGTTCATCAGATTGGATGCCTCTCCCTCTTACCTGGGTTGCAGCATCTCCAGGCTCTCACTGAACTGGTTACGCAGGAAACAGTTCAGCGCTGCAGTGCACTCGGCCAAGGCAGTTTCCAGGTTGCTGTTGCAAAGATGGACAAAAGAAAGAAGTTGGTTTAGAATAAATGTGACACATATTTCCAAGGCCACTTGGAAGATCTAGCTGCCACACAGTAAACCTTGGAGACGTTACATTTTTGGACCATTCCAAGGGAGGCTAGGACTAGCATTCCAAGTATTTAGGATTTTTTTCACATAGCCAGAATGCCAGTGAAGCCATTCATCAAAGAATAGATAGGATGGGAACCAGTAGAGAGGAAGAGCCTAGGCAACTAAAGTCAGAGCTGCATTTTCACTGTAAAAATACACTATCTAGCAAAGCAATTGATCAAAGAGAAAGGTTTGAGAATTTCTAGAGGAAGAGAGCCCCTAGGGATAACTAATTAGGATGCCAACATGTCTTCTTTTACAGAAAATATATCTATCTATTTATTTATTTATTTATTTATTTATTTAGGATATTTGTACCCTGCCCTTCTCAGCCCCCCATGAGAGGACTCAGCTTCCAGCCGGCAACAATTTGATGCCTCCATGCACACATAATACAAAGCAGAACCAATAATTATATATAGTTAAAGCATTAAGTCAATACAATTCAAATCTACTAAAATATACCAGTCTGGTGGCCATTATCTAGCCGAATTCTGTAGTTGGAGACTCCATCAAGCTTGTCCATAGTCATTAGCATAGCAATGGTCATCATTGTCATTGTCACAGTCTGCATAGTTACCCAAAGGCCTGGTCCCACATCCACGTTTTTAACTTTTTTCTAAAGGAGAGGAGGGATGAAGATAACCTAATTTCCCTGGGGAGCAAATTCCACCACCGAGAAAGCCCTGTCCCTCATCCCCGCCAAGCTCATTTGTGACAGAGTCGGGGCCAAGAACAGGGCCTCCCCAGAAGAGAACATCATATATATTTGGCATCTAATGTCCCTTTAGCACTATTGTGATATGTACTGTAACTATTACAGTAACTATTAGTGATATTATTCCTATTACCGTAACTATTAGTGATATGTACTGTAACTCTGTTTAATTATAAAAATAATGTATCATTTTGCAACAACCATAACAAATTAGCACTCAATTTAATGGAAATAGTTGTCCTCTTTTGCCATGTTATTGGCCACACAGTGCAGCCAAAACGGACAGTTAATGTACAGATGACACACATAGTCTCGGCAGGTGTTTGTGAATGATCTTCTGCTCAAACCCAAATGTGGGAACCTGGGTTACACTTTAACGGGGTTGATCTAGGCTAGACTGAGACTAAACTGTAGAGCAGTGGTTCTCAACCTGTGGGTCTCCCGGTGTTTTGGCCTACAACTCGCAGAAATCCCAGCCAGTTTACCAGCTGTTAGGATTTCTGGGAGTTGAAGGCCCAAACATCTGGGGACCCACAAGCTGAGAACCACTGCTGTAGAGCATTATTATTTTAACATGCTTATTTCACCATACCTATGCACCTATTGCCTAAATTTTGGTTTACTGGACCCAATGACAAGCAAACTGCAAGAAGTACTTTTTTTTTTTACAAAACAACAACAATTCTATATTGATTAGTCAATTTTGACCATATCAAAACATACAAAACATACACTCTTGTCCATACATACAGTAAAACCATTTATGAATACAAGGCATATATGGCCTGTCGACCCACTCCTAAATGATTGTGCAACTACAAGATAAAAAGATTAAAAGATTAAAAACTAATTAATTCCTTAAAGTAGGGTTTGGGTGGGGGCGCGAGTAGGTAAAACTAGTGGCATGTCCATATTAAGTTTTTAAGTTTGAATTTTGTTGATGAGGAAGTACTATTCTAAACAGCAAACAGGGAACTGGGAAGAATAACTACAAGAATATGCAATAAGTATTGGAGACACTGATCCCATAGTCAGTGGGAAACAGCAATTGTGGAAGGGACCCCATACATGCATTTGTGCCTTCAAGTCAACAATCAACTCATAGGGATTTCTTAAGAAATTAATACTCAGGCTCCTTCCACACAGCTGAAGAAAATCCCACATTATCTGCTTTGAACTGGGATATATGGCAGTGTGGACTCAGATACTCAAGTTCAAAGCAGATATTGTCGATTTTTCTGCCTTGATATTCTGGGTTATATGGCTGTGCGGAAGACCCCTTAGAGGTGGTTTTGCCAGTTTCTTCCTTCTGATATACAGCCTACAGCACCTAGCTTCTGAGTTTAATCAAGCTCAACATGGGCAAGCCCACAGAGGTTGGATCTGGATAAAATTAAAGTAACGATGGTTGACAGGCCATGTGACTTGAGAAACAAGGACACCCATTATTGATTTGACTTTACCCTCCCCAGTCCCTCGTGCTTATAATTTTGATTCGGAAGTGGCCTTCACCGGACAGAGAAACATTGTCTTTTCTAACACAGAGTAAGAAAAACATTTTTTGATAAAAATCAGAAAACGGAAAGACTCCTATGCCACAAAAGTAGTTCAACATGATTCAACAAACCTTTATCAAAGATTAACAATGTGCACATGTGAAATGAAACAATCACGTCAGGTAGGTCTCATACAAGTAAACAAAACATTGTTAACATTTTAAATATCATGTTAAAGTTTCTTCCAAGATATGCTAAGGGATTATTTTTTCCATGCCCACTTTTCTTATGATTTCTATTTTAGTAGCCAGAGTTATAGATTTATTATTATTATTATTATTATTATTATTATTATTATTATTATTATTATCTTTATTTGTACCCCGCTAACATCTCCCGAAGGACTCGGTGCGGCTTACAAAGGCCAAGGCCCTCAATAAAACAACAGCATAACAAATACAACAATAAACTCATAAAGCAAAACAATAAACATTAAAGCAATAACAGTAAACATTAAAACAATAACACCATGACGCATTTAAAACTAAAGGCCGGGCCAAATGTAATGAATAAAATTTAAAAAGTGCTGGACATGACAGGTGAAATGTATAGGTTTTTAGAGGTAGGTGCGGTGTGCAGACAATCTTAAATCTCTAATAAAGTGCATTTGGGACATGATGCTGGGAGTTTCCTATTCTGGAAAGGCACACTGGAACAGCCACGTCTTCAAGCTCTTCCTAAAGACTGCCAACGTTGGGGCTTGTCTGATGTCCTTGGGGAGAGAGTTCCAGAGTCGGGAGGCTACCACAGAGAAGACCCTGTCTCTCGTCCCCACCAAACGCGCTTGCGACGCAGGTGGGATCGTGAGCAGGGCCTCTCCAGATGATCGGAGGGATCGTGTGGGTTCATATATGAGATGCGGTCACGCAGGTAGGCGGGTCCCAAACTGTTTAGGGCTTTGTAAGTAAGCACCTGCACCTGCACCTGGGACCTTTGTAGGTAAGCACCTGGGACCGGAAAATGAACAGCAGCCAATGGTCCTTAAACAGGAGGGTTGACCTCTCTCTGTAAGGAGCACCAGTTAACATCCTGGCCGCTGCCCGTTGGACCAGTTGGAATTTCCGAGCCGTTTTCAAGGGCAGCCCCACGTAGAGCGCATTACAGTAGTCCAATCTAGAGGTGACCAAGGCATGGACCACCCCGGCCAGATCAGCCTTCATGAGGTATGGTCGCAGTTGGCGCACAAGTCTCAATTGTGCAAAAGCCCTTCTGGCCACCGCCGACGCCTGAGCCTAAAGCGTAAGTGATGAGTCCAAGAGGACACCCAAACTGCGGCAGTTTGCCTCCATTCTGCTTCCATATTGTGACCAATTCTGCCTCCATATTGGAGGCAGAATTGGTCACACATGCTCAATCTGGAATTCTGGATGCTGTTTAGTTACCTTCCCTGTTGTATAAAGACACACACAGGTACGGTAGGTTTGGAGAGAGCAGAATTTCGTTCTTTACCAATTTAGAGTTTACTTCATTGTTTGCTGCAGACACACTGCTACAATCCTATACTGAAAGTTTGTATTTCTCCAGTGCTTCATCACCATCTGCCCACTTCCAATGCTACAAAAATCTTGCAGGTAAAGAAGAAAGGAAGGTGGCTAACTGAGTGCAAAAACGGCTTTGTAAAAGTGTACTTCTTTGTCGGAGGCTTTTTTAACGGACGTATGCCTTGAGGCTTTGGGTTTTATGCCCTCTCTTTGGATGAAAATAATTTACAACAGCATTTTCTGTGCCAAAGACCATTTCCTCAATCACTGTTAGCATAACTCCCACGTCAGAGTTTTTGCTTTTGTTTTCAAAAGAGAACTAATTTAATAAATTGATTGGGTAAAGTCTTGTGAGGTATCAGATCTCACAAACTCTGAGGATGCCTGCCATAGATGTGGGTGAAACCTCAGGAGAGAATGCTTCTGGAACATGGCCATACAGCCTGGAAAACTCACAGCAACCCAGTTATTCCAGTCATTAAAACCTTCAACAATACATCTTATGAGATATTCTGTCAAAAGTTAACTGCAGTAGAGTCTCGTTGATCCAACCTTCACTCATCCAACATTTTGTATTATCCAACTCAGCTGTTTCAATACATTGTGATGTTTTGGTGCTAAATCCGTAAATACAGTAATTACTACGTAACGTTACCATGTATTGAACTGCTTGTTTTGGTACTTAATTTGCAAAATCATAACGTAATTTGACATTTAATAGGCTTTTTCTTAATCCCTCCTTATTATCCAACATTTTCGCTTATCCAATGTTCTGCTGACCCATTTATGTTGGATAAGCGAGACTCTACTGCCTCTAGACCATGGCCATATAGCCTGAAAAAACCTACAACAACCCACTCTACTGTATATTTATAGGAAAAGACAAATTTACTTAGTGACCTAAAACTATTAACTTCTCCCCTGGAGCCATGTCTCATACTATCAGGGAAACGCCCCATGTTGTATACTCCTTCTTTCTACTTCCTCCTGAGGTTTCAAGGGAAGGCCCTGGATATCTGTTTGTCAACGTCACCTACTATTTGGTTACCTTCTAAGCTTGCTCACCTCCGCTTACCGGCAAGCCCAGGGTTCCCAAGTTGGTGAACACTAAGCAAAC